ACAAAGCCAAAGAAATGTGGGCTCTTCTTGTCGCAACTGCTTAAATTAAATATATTGCTCACTTTCTGTTCAATTGGCGAGCCCAGCGGACATCGGAGGAGCCCCTTAAAGATCGCGTTCATGTTTAGTGTGAACTCAGTACGAGATCCGCAGATTTCGTTCCGTTTAAAGCGTTCAGCGTCCGTCGATCACCAGGCAGTTAAGTCCGCGGCCTCGCGGCATTCCGGTTGCAGTTCCCGGTTCTGTGTCGCGTCGATCGTTTCGTGTTGAGGTACCTGCACCAGAAGAGATCCCTTACCATCCCTAAAAGTCCATAATATCCATAAAATATAATCAAGGAACCAAATCCTAGCAATGTACAAATCTCAGTGTCCCTGAAACCTTTTCAACTATTTATTATCGAAAAAACACCCTCGATTTGTATCGTCAAAAATGTTTCTAAAGAAGAAACCGCTATGAAATAAATATAAAACAGTTTTCAATAATTATTTTGTTAAACAACATTATGATTATAATTTGGTACAAAAGAACACAATTAATTCAGTTAATTGGTACACAATTAGATACATTCTAAAGTATTAGCAACAAAGCCTTATACACATTTTTAAATTTTCCCTAAAGCGTTGGGATCTATTATATGAATAGTTTATTTCCGTATCGCTATGCCCCAGTTATAAACAGTTGATATAACTGTAACAAAGGTCTCACAACGGACAGGCGAAGAACAACTTAAGCCCTTCTTGTTTACCATTTGTCTTGTGAAAAAACCTACAAACTGAATAAGGGTTATAATTTAATTTACCTAAAAATCAATAGTAAATAAATTATATTAAATGAATACAATTATCTAAATTAATGAGCAGCATATCAACTTTTTTCTTTATTATTCTGAACTTGGGTAGACTCGTAGTTTTGGTTTTTTTTAGTAAACAAACCTTAAAGTAAAGCTGAACCCTTCCTTAGGCTCCAACAAACCTACAGTTTTCCGATATTCCCAGGTAGACAAAAATTCCCTACAACGGCTACAGCGGTGCAACGCATTCTGAAACTGTTGATGCAACGGCAGCAGAAATTGCTGCGAAAATTATTCCAACTGACTGCATTGGCAAAACGTTAAGCATACGCAGTGGAGTACAGCGAAATAAAAAAGCAAAAAGCCAGTGATTAAGTGCAAAGCTAAACAAAGAAGTGAAAAAAGTGAGTGCAAAGTGAGTCGTACGATAAAAACAATAATTATCGCGGGGAGTGCCATCGAAAAGCTCCATCCTGGGTAATCTGTGGTTAATCGTCCGAGGTGAGCTCATCCGAAAGTCAAGCTGGACAATTACAGAGCGGGGGCGACAAGTAAAAGCCTAAATATAGTTATTAAATAAGCATTAACAGTCGAGTGTGTCAAGATCACGCAGAGAAATAATCAATCATAACAGCTGAAGTCTGTCAATCAAAAATAATGTGTACCAATGTGTACCAAGAACTAAATATATTATTAAAAACCATATAAATTGTACAGCCATTTTAAAATTGGTTTTTTTTGTTACTTTAAGTATTATCCGTTAATATTTTCTACGAATTACAATGTAAATTTAAATGGTATAACATTTTTAAACTAAATAATTAAACGTTGTTGCCAGAATTACCCAAAATGCATTTAATAATAATTTCCTAATTATACATTTTGTCATAAAAATAGCTTATTAAACGGCAACCCCTAATAAACTATAAATAAATAGGTACATATTTTTAAATTAATTATTTGGGTCCATCTTTTTATTTACCTATTACTTATTCTAGAAATTATTTTCAGTATTTTAGGATAGTTTTTTCCGGTCCAGGAGGGTGTGAGATTTTGGGGATGCAGGGTGACCTTCGATCGTTCCGAAAGTTTTCCGCTTTCGTGCCTGTTTGTAATTTGTGTCAGCAAAAGCGAAACCGAAATGAATGGCCCGAGTGACAGGTTGAATCGATTAAGACCACAAGAGCCCAACCCTATAGATACGTTATAATGGAAACCATAGATTTCCCTCCTCTTGCCTCTCCCTCTTTATCTCTAAATATCTTTTTTCGAAGAAACCCGCTGCCAAATGTCAAGTTCAAGTTCGCCAAATCTATATTTGTTATGTTTCTGAAAGTTTCGCAAAGGGGAAGTGCCAATAAATTTTGTGCCTGGCAGCGGGCAGAAATCAAAGCGACAGGCGAAACTCGTCGCTGCAATTATCTTAATTATCTGCCAGATGATCGGGGGATATGGCCAGAGGATGTTTTTGCGACCGGGAATGCCGAAATGCGAATAGCAAATATGACAACCGAATTCAGCCGGATCCCGGCGGACGCGGAACGATTTGTTTGTTGTGGTCAGGCCAGGTTAGAGAAAGTTAAATATAGCGCTGCCCTATTGATTTGGCCCACTGCCCGAGAGATGGGCAATGGGCTCTGCGGCTTTGGGGTTTTGGGTTTTCCGGGAGGGTACAGAAGGCAGGGGGCTTCCCACATGATTTATGAATGACAGCTAACAAGGAGCACTCTTCGCCGAATCGATAAACGTCTTTTTGCGACGAACCTTTCCCCGGTTTCTGCCTCCTATCCCCAAGGACATCCAGCGGCAATTGCCAAGTCACTTAAATCGATTAGCGAAGCTATTAAATCAAATTACCTGGAAGGGTTAGTGGGGTTGGCTCTGCACTCAGAGAAATACTAGAGTTGTTTAGCACCACACCGATAAAAAGAGTTTTGAAACTTTAACTTGAATTTTTCGAAAATCTTAAAACCGTATAGAATTAAAAGAAAAACGAGTCGATCTAGCCATGTCCGTCTGTCCGTCCGTCTGTCCGTCCGTCTGTCCGTCCGTCTGTCCGTCCGTTTCTACGCAAACTAGTCTCTCAGTTTTAAAGCTATCGGGATGAAACTTTCGTAAAAGTCGTATTTCTATTGCAGGTAGTATATATGTCGGAACCAACCGGATCGGACAACTATATCTTATAGCTCCCATGGGAAGGATCAAAAAAAACAAGAAAGGAAGCTAGCTTCGGCCAGCCGAAGCTTATATACCCTTGCAGATCATTCCTATTAATTAACAAATCGCAAAAATGTTCAATTTTCTAATATTTCTCATTAATTTTCCGATCGTTCCTATGGCAGCTATATGATATAGTCGTCCGATGTTGATTAAATTAAAATTGAAATTCGGAAATATTTAAAAAGAGTCATATCCTAGAGTAGAAGATAATACAATAAAAACCAAAGAAGCTTGAATTTATTTCCTATTACTTTTCCATTAATTTTCCGATCGTTCCTATGGCAGCTATATGATATAGTAGTCCGATTTTTTAAATAATTAATTCGAAATTCAGAAATATTTAAAAAATAACATCCCCAAAAGTAGAAGGTTATATTTCAAAAAACACCGAAGCTAGAATTTTTTTAAGTTTTTTTTTCCGATTGTTCCTATGGGAGCTATAAGATATAGTTGTCCGATCCGGTCGGCTCCGACATATATACTACCTGCAATAGAAAGAAGACTTTTGCGAAAGTTTTGTCCCGATAGCTCAAAAACTGAGAGACTAGTTTGCGTAGAAACAGACAGACGGACAGACGGACAGACGGACAGACGGACGGACAGACGGACAGACGGACATGGCTAGATCGACTCGTCTTGTGATGCTGATCAAGAATATATATACTTTATGGGGTCGGAAACGTCTCCTTCACTGCGTTGCAAACTTCTGACTGAAATCATAATACCCTCTGCAAGGGTATAAATATATATTTGTGTAATATAGAAAAACCATATTTAGTTATCGAGATATTTTGGTGGGATTCTAAAAAAATGTATTGTTTAAAAATAGTTACTGTTTTTATTACATTAATTTTATTCAAGTTCCATTAATTAAATGTTAAATAGGGAAAAAAGAATTATAAATGTATTACTCTCTTATTATAAAGCATATCTAAAATAAATTTTACATATATGTATGTAAATATTAACTCCGTGTTTATGACATGAAATTTCTCTGCGTGGGTGCTAATTATTTTTTGCGTGCCCGTTGAGCGGAATTTTCCGCTTTATGATAATTGCGGAGCGTCAATCAGCTTTTCGACGGTGCGTGATGTCTGCACCGCGTCTCCATTTCAATTTCAATTTCCATTTCGTTTTTATTTCCCTGCCGGCATTTGCCATAAATGCGCCGCGAGAAAAGCGAGAGAGAGAGAGAGATTTATAGCACACAGGACACTCGACTCCTGAGTGGGTTTTTCAAATAAAAAGCTGACCCAGCGAGAGAGTCGCACATTCGCAGGAGCAAGCTTGAAGTGAACGGTTCGGATTTCGAGGAGCTGCAAAATCAGGAGCAGGAAAAAGGACACTCAGACGGGGCGGAAAATAGTGAAAACGAAAGCGGAAGAAACTGGCTGAAACTTAAAGTGAGAAGTTTTAATCTCTCCAAGAAGCTTTAAAGAGGAGTCAGCTTATAAAATAAAGAAGGATTTTATTAAAATCGCTTTGAAATCGGAGCAAGGCTGACACACTTGCAGTTGACCCCTGACCCGGAGTCTGAAAAATCGATTATCTCTGTGTGAGTGCGAGTGCAGTTCAGCGACTTAAAGAGAGAAACCACCCACTCAACCCACCCGCGAAGGTCAGTTCCACCCGTTGAGAAGCTCCAACTAAATTTTCAATTGACATTCCGGAGCGGAAAGTCTCAGAAAACCACAACAACGGAGCCGTTAATAAACAACCGCCTTCGAAGCGAGGAAGGTACGAGGGTTCGAGGCGGAACGCAAGCGCCGCCGAGCAAAAAAAAGACAACGCCGCACCGGTAGAAGAATGGCCTACCTAATCAACATCCTCAAGTTCAATGTGAAGTACTTAAAAAATCAATAACTGGACACACATCCAAGCCAGAAAACCAACAAACCAACCAGTTAACCATCCCAACAACAGGAAAAAAACGAGGAGCAGCCGCATTCTGATAAACAGGGGAACCCCCATAGCTAGCTAGCTCTCTCTCTCTCTTTCTCTCCGCTCGCCCCATCTCGCTTGCTCCTCTCTTGGCTTTCTCGGTTTTCGGTTTTGGTTCCTGGGTTCTGTCGCCCCCGCTCCGCTGCAAAACGAAAGGCAGCCCCACTTGGACACCTGGAAACTTTGCGGACATTTGGAAATGGAAAAGTCTGAGAAATTTTCAGATTACCTCTTCGCCAAAATGGGTCCCCCCACCTCCACTGAGCTGCCGCCGAAGACCACGGAGCGCAGCGACGCACCCGTCGAGCTGACCGGCTATCGCAGGTGGCTGTCGGATAACCTCATGCTGTTGGTCACCCTCTCCGGGGTTCTCCTGGGCGTAGTACTGGGTGAGTCCTATGAGTAATGCGAATTTGTGGGTGATTAATAGCAAGAAAATCCAGCCCAAGGTTGTAAAATGGCATGCATTTTCCAAAGTGTATAAGATCAAAATTAAACTTCGGTGTGAAAAAGTATGCAACAATATTTTTAAACCCCCCAAAGTATGTTGTTTTGTACTGCACACTTTTAGACCCCTTTATATGTGAAAGTCCTTGCTAAATCCTTTGATAGTATATCTCTTTTTAGAATTAAAAAACTAAAGTTGGGCTTTTAAATCATTTATAAAGGTGCTTAAAAGTATGCAGTAAAATATTCTAAGCCCGAAAGACAGGGAATTTTTCACGGCATACATTTAAACACTTTAATAAGTGATTACAAAACCCCCTAAGTAAAACCCCATTTTAATTATACCATTTATCCACCAGGACTCTCGTTGCGACCGCTAAATTTACACGGCGACTCCATCATGCTGATCTCGTATCCTGGCGAACTTTTCATGCGCGTGCTGAAGCTGATGATCTTGCCGCTGGTCATATCCAGCCTGATTGCCGGATCGGCCAGTCTTAATGCAAAGATGAATGGCAAGATAGCGCTGCGCACATTGGTTTACTTCGCCAGTACTTCCTTCTTCAACGCCGCCCTAGGAATCGCTCTCGTGTTGCTCATCCATCCTGGAAATCCCGATCTGCACAACGCCGATGATCGGTCGACGGATAGGCGGGCAGTCAACCTACTGGATAGTCTTTTGGATTTGGGAAGGTAAACATTACGCAGATAACATCATTTAATAAGTGTATTTTGGATAAATAAATACTGGATTCTTTTTAGTTCGGAGATTTCATTAAATTTGGCAATATTTTAAATTTGAAAAAAATTATATAGGTTAATTTAAAATACAAAAATATTTTTATTTATTCAATACACCTTTTTTTATTTTTTTTTTAGTTTTCAACGATAAAAGTATACTGTGAAAAATCTCGTTTTTCGACATGAATTCAGAGTTTAAATAAATTGTTGCATATGTTTAGACACAAAAAGTTACTTCTGTGTAAAATACATCAATTATGTAGACATTATGTATGTAAAAACTTTAGGATCGGATTTTTTCGTCTCGTAAATCAGTTTTTCAGTGAAAACTTATTTTATTTATTTAAACATTCTAAGTTTAACAATAAATTTATAAATAATAGCATTAGTTTTACTTAATAATGAGTAATTCCATAATTTTTGTTCACCCCCAGAAATGTATTCCCGGACAACCTGTTCCAGGCCTCCATTCAGCAGGCGCACACCGTCTACCTGCCCAAGCCGAGCATTCTGCATGCCTTCAACGAGACGATGAACGACACCTTGGTGGAGGCTCAACGTCTGTCGGAGGATCTGTCGGAGGAGGTGGTGCTCGTGCGGGACATCCAGTACCGCAGTGGAACCAACACGCTGGGCATCGTTTTCTTCTGCCTGGTATTCGGAACTTTCCTGGGGACCATTGGCCAGAAGGGCCAGGTAGTGGTCGACTTCTTCGCCGCTATTTTCGAGGTGATAATGAAGATGGTAACCTGTGTGATGTGGCTAACGCCTGTGGGAATTAGTTCTGTGATCGCCGGCAAGATCCTGAGCGTCGGCGACTTGGGCCTGGTGATGTCCCAGCTCATGTGGTTCATCGTCACTGTGGCCATCGGCGTCATCATCTACCAGTTCGTGGTGATGCAGGCCATCTACTTCGTCGTCGTGCGCCGCAATCCATTCAAGTTCTACGCCGGACTCATCCAGGCCATGCTAACCGCCTTCGCCACGGCCTCAACGTGAGTTCTGTGTTTTCAGTCGATCAATGGGATCATTGAGTCCTTAGGTCTATCTATCTGTTGAATCAGCAGGCGAAATAGCCAGAGATCAAGTCAAGTGCATTTTTGAGAATGAGAAATAATTTTCTGCTCGTACGAAACACTTGCAATACTTCTTGTGAATACGATTTTGTCTAGAGCAAAAGGAAAATTTGAGAGGTCTAATCGGAAAATTCTATGACAAGTCTTTAACAAAGGGACGATTTTCTCTTGAACGAATTTGGAATCCGCTCATAAAATGAAATAAAATCAAAATCAATAAAAGTAAAATTTATTTATAATTTACAATCTATTTTTTGCATTGGATCATTAAGTGAATAAATAACTTTTTCTAAAGAAGAAATTATATTTTTACTAAAAACTTCAGTTAATCAGTCTTAAAGATTTCATTTATTTTTCTCAACATTTTTGTTCTTATTAAACATTTTAATGATAGTTTAGGGAACTGAGATTCAGATGCAGTAGGAGTGCGTTAAATGTGTATTTTTTCTTTCTTCCGGTATTTGCCACGACCTGATGTTGTATCCTCCGAACTCTACCCACTAATACACCACACTCCCCAAAAATCACACCACCTTCAACACACTCCTCGAACCGAAATGTGCGCCTGCCACGCCCCTTAGCGCCGCCGCCCTGCCCATTACATTCCGCTGCATGAACGAGAAGCTGAAGGTGGATCCGCGGATCACGCGGTTCGTCCTGCCCATCGGATGCAATATCAATATGGACGGGACGGCCCTTTACATCGCGGTGGCCTCGATCTTCATTGCCCAGATGAGCGGAATGGTCCTGGGATTCGGGGAGCTGCTCACCGTGCTCCTCACCTCCACGGCCGCCTCGATGAGCTCGGCCAGTGTTCCGAGTGCCGCCCTGGTCCTCCTTCTCGTCGTCCTCACCGCCATCGATGCTCCTGTCCAGGATGTGACGCTCTTGTTCGCCGTGGATTGGTTTGTGTGAGTATGGATCTGATTTGGAGTGGCTATCCTCATTAGGTAGATGGCTAATCCAAGGAATCTCGTCTTGCAGGGATCGGATTCGCACTACGAACAACATGCTGGGCGATTGCTATACTGCCGCCATTGTGGAGGAACTTTCACGCAAGGAGTTGATGGCTTTGGATGCGGCTTCTGTGAATTATCAGGTATGAATATCAGAAGAAACAGGGTGATGTGCTCTACGAATCCATACTGTGTCTGTTGCAAGAACGAAGGAAGTTCGGTTATAATACCCGTTACTCGTAGAGTAAATCCCGTCTGTCCGTTTGACCGTTGAGATCTCAGAAACAACAAAAGCCAGAAGGTTGGGATTAATCACACATATTCTTAAGCTTCCTACGCAGCGCAAGTTCATTTCATCCAAGCGTCACGCCCACTCGTACACTCGTAAAGGTATTTAAAAAAGCCTGGCCAGATTTTGTAAAAGTTTAAATGCCATTTTGTTGTCTTTATTAATTCTTATCGAAACGTAGAAGAATATTTTTAAATCGGACAATTCATTAAAACGTTATGAGAAAAAATGGAATGACCGCTAGGTGGAGCCAGTAGCTTTGAGGACTGCATATATCTGATAGTCGAAGTATTCGACTATAGCGTTCTCCCTTGTTTTAATTCTACAAATGCCTATCTTCCAGGACATGCCCGCCGGCACCCCCAATGGTCATGGTCACGGGCACCACGAGGGCGGTCTCCTCGAGGGGCAGACGGAGCTGGAGACGAGCAGCAAGTGCGTGATGACGATGACCGACTCGGTGGTGGTGGACATGAGTGCAGTGATGAACAACGTGAACCTGCAGCAGGAGCACTGCAATCGCAGGGTCTAAATGGAAACCGATTTTAGTTCGTCAGCATCAGCTCCATAATCCTAAAGCAACCACCACCACCAGAAAAACAACAATAACACCTAGACCACAGTGTTCCCCCAAGAAAACCAAAAAGTTTTTGATATAGCATCTTTAAAGAACAACAACAACAACAACAACCGATTGGATATATATCGAGAGACTGTCTGACGAACCCACCCGTATTGAATTTACTCCTCTTTTGGACCAGTGTCGATAGCAATTAATTAGCCTGAACACTTAAAGGACTCCGCATACGTATATATCGAATATTCACCTAGTAGGAAGAACCGCATAAGGATATTATATTATGCCACATTATTAAGCACACACACTTTACCTTTAACCCCCAAGAAGAAAAAGGAGAAGCGAGGGATTCTTGTGATCTGTCCTGGGAACTATGTGGATAATCTATGGGTATTATTTTGTAAGCTCGATTGTGATGGGGTCACCACACTGATTTGTTTGATAGTGTTGCTTATTTCTACGTCATATATGTGTTGTTTGGGTGTTTTACGAGCGAGAAAGAGAGAGAGAGAGAGGTCAATGTTTAAGTTGATTGAGGGATGAACGCAGAAACGCAGGTTGTACAAGAAGCTGGCCTAGGTTTAGTTCTAGTTTTAGTTGATCTGTTAATTTCCTAAAAAACTCACCTTTGGTTACTACAATTCCCAGACTAACTTACGATTATCAATTACCCATTAGCAACTATCAATTACCAATTACCAATTACCGATACCAAATATCACACATGCATTCGTAGACTGATAGCAGACTTAGTAGCGATAACAAATATGTATCTGCATATATGCAATACTTACTAACCAATATCCGACATTCGATTTGTACGCAAACGCATACGCTGAATACAATAAAAGTTATTATACCACCTACTTAATGGACTTTTTCTGGTTCCCTTTTTCAGATAATCATTTGCCAACACCTAATAAAATGCTTTTTTTTATGATTATGTTAATACTTATACACAATGTGCATTATAAAGAGAAGCTTAGATTTCAACATCATTCCATTATTTTGGTTTCATTTTCTTCTTAATCTTCTACTCATTGAAAATATTATTATGTTATCACCATAATTTACGTGCATATGGAGATTATTGTTGAGGTCACCTGTGCTTTTTTTGTCCCAAAGTCTCTGGATAAATAATAAATAGCTTGCCTATTTATTCATCTACTAATTGTATGTCACTAGATTAAGTATCTTCGTATTCACACACTATATCTTCATCTGTATTGCGTTTTACTGCGACTTCATTTCTGTGTTTCGAGCGCAAACGGAAATTTGCCTATCAACATGGCCATAAATCTATCGATCGATGGGTGAGTAGTATACTGTATACTCTACTTGAATAGCCGACGCGTTCGGGTCGAGTGAATAGAATGAATCATCACTGGGCCCAATAACTCAACGCCTGCACCACTTGGCCAGTGGTTTTGCACAAGCGAGCCAAATCGGGCTTATATAATTATATAGATACGTTCAGAGGTGCATGTGCATATGAATGACTGAATAAATTACTATCGAACTGAGGCCCTGGAGATAAGGTACACGAGGTACTCAGATCTGCAGGGAAAAACTCTTGAATCGATTCGGTTATTTTTTCACACTTTAGTTTTCATGGGTGACCATGTCGAACTAGGAAGTTTTCGTGGGTGACCATAACTAACTAGGATATTGACAAATCATATTTTTAATTTTTTTTTTTTTTTCGTAAACTTCCCATAAAAAAGCGATATTTGATATCATATGAGATATTTACTAGATCTATAGCTACCCCTATTTTATTATCTCGGATGTAAAATCTGCCACCTTAAGATCCGCTTTGCTTTTCGATTCCGCCGACACGTCAGGTGTCAATCTGAATCGCAGACTTCTCGCAGACTCGAGAGCAAAGCTGCACAAAATTGCACAGGTGAATGAAATCGGCGGCGGGCAAAACAACAATAAGCAAATGAGCTGCGAAATGTGGGCAAAGGTGGCAATATGGATATTTATGGAGATATGCAAGATGCAGGTTGTGAGACACGGATAATCGACCTCCGTGTGTGGTGCAGAGTGCATGCACTGAAAGAAAATATTGATAAGAAATCTTAAACTAGTAGGTAAATGAAAAGTGCATAAAGTGGAACTGAAATCTATCAGCTATTTTATTTATTTTCGATTTCATAGGCGGGCAGCTACCATTAAATAATGTAAGCTTAATATTGGCATATTCTTTTGTGAATATTATCGGTTTTTTTTCGAGTATGCCATGCAAACGGATCAAAATTTTCGCCTCGGTCGCTTTCAGAAGTGCGCAATTGCAAACTCGAGCTGTCGAGCGTCGAGCTCTCTAGCCAGTCCAACTGTCTGCCCCTCCCGCTCCTTCATTCAGGGGGCTCTTGGGCCCCTTAAGCCCCCCTTTGCCCAGCCCCCTTGCCACCTGTCCAACTGTCCCACTGACTGGCTGAATAATGCTGAATGCCGAATGCCGACTGAATGCTCTTGTGGCTGCGTTGGCTGCGACGTTGCTCCGACTTTTGCGACTGAAGCTGGCGTTTGAGTGTTTGGCGTCTGAAGGTCTACTTGGCAGCGGCTTTGGAGTGTGTTGGCGTTACGTCGGACCCCCCTTATCGCAACCCCAAGCCGAAACCCCTCCCACTTCCATTTTCCCTCTGTCACTGGCCGCTAAAATGAAATACGAGTGCAAACAGACCGCAACAACATACTGGGAAAGCTGCGCCAAAAGATCGAAACTGGGGTACTCTGAAATAAATATTATGTATAGTTTTTTTTTAAATTTATATTTACAATTTTTACGATTTTATCTTATCAGTACCCAGAAAACAAAAATCTTGAATATTTACTTTTGAAAAAATATTAATATAAATTTGATCATTACTTATTTATTATTTATTTGAATTTTTTGATAATAGCATTTGGTCTTCTTCTGAAGAATTCGCAGTTTATTATTTATGAACTAAGCTATGAAAATAATACCTATCCAAAATTTCAGTGTGGTAAATGTTAGTTCCTCTGGCTCTGAAGAATTTGCGGTCTCAAATTGTTCAATATTTCATGTATAAACTTAAAAAATATGAATTAACTAAATCTCCGATTAAGTCTAACAGGATTCACTCTATCACTTTGGGAATAAAATGGATCAGCATTTATCTCCATATCCCTAAACGGCCAGATGACCTTGATTCATACAAAATCAGTGGCACCCCGTTGATATCAACACCGCAGAATATAAAACAATGTTCATAGCTTAGCATTAACCATAAAAGGGGTCTTTCCCTCCTTTCGATTCTCCCGTTTTCGTGACTCCTCCGGCAATTGAAAATTGAAAACCCCCCTTTGCGTGTGACAAAGTTCGTGATCGACCCATTGGACCCTATATAGGGCATGGGTATTTCGTAGGGGGTATCTCATTGTGGATTGTGTGTGGAATTGTGTGAAGAAACAAACGGCGGCTGCTTGACTCAAGTTTTTTTTTCGTTTCGAGCTCTCGGCTCTTGCGGCGCATTTTGAAGAATAATGGCCAGGGCACATGTGCGCCAGAACACAACTTGGCTCACGATATATTGACACTTGGCACATATGGCATGCAGAATAGGTAAATACATATAAATGTATATCTATGGAGAATGCATTATGGAGCTGTGGTTGCGATTTGCATAAGCGCAAGCTAATTAATTCAATTAAGAGGCGAGTCAAAGCAAATCTCCGCCGGGGCGGTTTCACTTTCTTGATTTGCGATTCTCTATTCCCAGTGCTCGATTCTGTTTGATTCTTCAGGAATGATTGAGCACTGGCGGAAGTTGTTCTCGTGTTGACAACGACAGCGCGCTTATCGCCATGACGATTGACTGGGATTGCGATTGACTCTGATCGATGCGATCGAAGCATACAGCTGCAGCCCAAGTACAGATGCAGATTTGGATTCAGCATTAGATTCTGGGGATCTGGCGATCTTGGAACCAAGGCACTGGCACCACGACCACGACTCCCGGCCGCTGCTCGGACATGAGTTTATGGCCAATCTGCTCGTCTATAAATTTGCAATCAACTTTTATCAGCCAGCGTCCAGAACGTGCCTCCGCTAACGTTTCTATTCACACGTTGCCGGTCCGCGCGAAACGGGATTGTGCCAGTCCCAATGCCACTGCCACTCAATCTCAACTTGTGCATAGAGAGAAATAAATATTAGAAAAAAATAGGGAAATTCTGTATATCTACGGAAATAAGGAGGATAAAGTCCAGGTGCTAAAGAATTCGCGGCTTTGTTGATTATCATTTATAGCTACACCCAGAAAAATGATGGACAACATTTTAGGTCATGCATAGCCTAAAACAATTTAAATGGACTAAAAGTTCCTTTTTAGGTCATGTACAGCCTAAAAATTAAAATTTTTGGTATATTTGCCCTACTATTTAGGTCCCGTATAGCCTAATATTTTAGGTCATCGAGGGCCTTAAAATTAATGCATTTTACCTAAAAAAATTTGCACGGAACTCTGATACCGTTCTAGCGACGCTATAATTCCCAACCAGTTATAGCGCGGCTTGCATGGTAACCCACTTCGATCATTAAATAAAACAGCGATTTCACTGCTGAACAGTGAAGCCTCTTCGCTCGTTTTTGTGTGTTGGAATAATGACGACTTCTTGAAGACTAAGCCGACATTGACCTCGAGTTAGCTATAAATTTCTCTGTATTTACTTTATAATATGAAAAATTTTTCAGTACACATCTTTAGGCCAAATAAAGCCTAAAATTTTTTTTTTAGGCAGCCAATTACCTAAAATCTAGGCCAAAAATTACCCCATTTTAGGCCATTAATGGCCTAACATTTTAGGTCATACAATCCTAAATTTTAGGCCATTCAAGGACTTAGCTCCAGTTTTAGGCCAATTTTACCTAAATTCTAGGCCATTTTTAGACATTTTAGGTCATTTTTTTTTCTGGGTGTAGAATTAAACAAAATTACGAACAAAAACCGTTAATTTATAATTCGCAATATTTTAAGTTATACCCAAAATATAATAAATATTATGCAATAGACCCACTTATCAAAAGTAAAAATTGAGAAATAATCTTCTGATTGAGAGCAAACAAGCTGCTGAAGAATTCGCGTTTATGGATTCATTCATAACTCATTATTGGGAAATCTCTTTCAGAATTATCATATTATATTATTTGATATGTAACGTTTTACCTCTTTTTTTCCAGTGCCTGCTCCGCTCTACTGAAGTCAATATTTTGTTGGTGTGACTTTGAGCGGTGATATATTGGCCCACATTCGTCGCGTTGCAGTTGCTGTTGCAGATCATGCTGCTGGCCGCGTTGGTTGGTTTCCCTTGGCCAGTGTTCCACAGCTTCCCCGCTGCAGTTGCAGTTGCATCATCCACATCCACATCATCCGCATCATTCGCATCATCATCGTCGTCGCCAGCCTGGTAATCTAACCAAATTACTGTGCTGTTCACAAACACGTTCTCTAAACGGTTTCATAATAACAACGCGCTCCTCAAAAGAATTTCCAAAGCGGGCTTTCTTTTCAGCTTCCTCTTCTCATGGATTACATATCTCGGTGTATATCTATATACCCCTCCTGTTTCTGTTTCGGTTCGGTTCTTCGGTGTGTTGGTCTAATGCAAATTGCAGTAATAATTGGCCCATTATGCCACAGAACACAACAGAGTGAGATGGCGAAAGAACGAGTGAGAGAGAGGGAGAGATCTGCAGTAGGTCGCCTCATCTGCCACGCCCCTCCCCCCACTACGCCCCCTTTCACACAGCAAAAGGAAACCATTTAATACTGTGCTTTCATACTTAAAAGTTGGCATTAGATGCGCTTACACCAAACCAAATATGGTTATGAAATGGTCGAAGAGATGGGCGGAGAGAAGGGGTTAATAAGCCTTAACCCCCGGAGGCGGAGGAAGAAGCCAAAAGCAACAGGAGTAGATTGCATTCGAATATTGCGCTCATTAATTAGCCGACATTGCAAATTAATGCCTAATCAAATTTTATTGAATTATAAACCAGTCGGCAGTCGAAATGCCAAAATGCAGAGCCAAATAAGAGTTGGTTTTTGAAGGGAAGGAGGGAGAGGCAGTCTCTCTTTCGTTGTTGGTAATTAATGTGCACCAAAGCGGCCAACAGGCATTAAAATTAATTTGATTTTGTCAAAGGCAACAACATGGGAAGCGCAACGCTCGAGGTCTCGGTAGCAGTCGAAGATTCAGAGGCTCTGTCCCAGTCCCTCGAAACAACCTGACAAGTGTCCGCTGCCTAGGTGGAGTACACAGTAAGAAATTTAGGAAAAAGCACACTATAAATTTTCTACCAGGTTAATATCCGGCTCGAAGGACCAAACGCCTGAATTTTCTTCCTCTAAAATACTCTATATAATTTATTATGTAAATTCAAGCAACAAGTACATTAATAATTTCTTCATTTAATATTTAAATAATTTAACTATAAATCTAGTCAAAATTCGGCTCGAAGGACTAAAAATTTTGGTTTTATTCTTTAAAACTTGTTTTTTAATTTATTACGGAAAATCAGTATTTTCAGTACTACAATTACATCCCCAATTACCTAATTTAATATTCAAATTATACAAACTATTGACGGTGTACACCCGAATTGCAAGCTCCAGCCATTAATGATAGACTCTAAAATATGCTCTTCCAGCAAAGTATCCTAAGATTGATCTCACATCGTTCGAAGTGATCAGCTACTGATTTGAAATAAAAGCTAAAGATTCGCAGGGGGGGAGTAACCCCACCATTAATCCACTCCCTTCCAGAACTTGGTCATCGGTAGCCTAGGCACCCTGCAGGGTATCAGACTGCAGACTCAACTCCACAGCCTGGCCAACACAACACAGATCGTTGCTATTTTAATTAACTGCCCGGTCTGTGCATTAAAATTGTTTTGACTTTGTTAAATGCTTGCAAATCGCAAAGCGACATGAAAATTTACGCGCCACAAGGAGAAGCTTCCAGCAGCAGATGAAGATGGAGATGCAGTCGGCTCAAGACGAATCGGAATCGGGATCCCGAGGAACTGGGAACTTGGAACTTGCAACTGGGAGCGGTAGCCTGAAATCGATACTGCTTTGGTCGCAGCATTCGATGCGGACATTTGCCATTTACCATTTACCATATGCTATTTGCTGGCGAGATGTTTTTCCACCACCACCCAGTGACCGAGGCAAAATACCGCAATCAGGCAAATGGCCAAGTGGATGATGCACTGCCTCATCACCAGCCACAATCCATCCCCGGACCGTCCTCGGGCCAACCCATCCCATTCTCAACGCCAACCCCTTCCCATCCTGATACACAGAAAATAATATAAAATATTGCATATTTATCACATTATTAAAATGCTATTCAATATAATTTGGCATAATATTAATGGATAGTAAAGTTAAGATCAACTTGATACAGGTATTTCACTATCATTATACACTTTACTAATAAAATGAATTTATTTAAGATGATGTAATAGTATAATATGGGGAACATTTGAATTAAAGCTTACAAGATGGTAATATTACTTTTATTATAAATATTATATTATATCAAAAAAATAACCTGTTGAGTTAGAAATTAAAGGTCACATGCATAATGACGGATGTTGTAAAGACTTGACTTATAGAACAGAATAGACAATCGTCATGATATTTTCCCAGTGCAGTACCATTGTTCTTCACCACCCAGAGAACGCGAAAATGTTTGCCAATGTAATTAAAAATGCATTTGTGGTAAAGAGCAGTGAGAAGCGTTGAGAGCGTAGGCCGTTCGGCCAGAAGGAAGTGGATGTTGGGATGCCATGGTATTGGGAATATTGAGATACTGGATATACTGGCATACCGAATGAACCATCTGTAATCGGCGATCAGTGCAAATTGTCGTGAATTAGTCGGCCACTCAAATCTATGGCATTAGGCCCGAGGAGTCGGATCTCTATAGTCACATTAAAGAGCCGCCGCCCGTTTTTGGGGTCGCGAGATCGGGAAAGACCAAATCGGGAGAGAGCGAAAAGTAGTGCCAGCCACATCACACATACGCCGTGTATGACGGCCCGAGTCTGAGGAGCTGTACGCGTGAAATGTCAAAAGCTAAAAATGCCATTTGCTGTGCTCCAATCACTCGTTGGCCTTTCGGCGGCTTACACTGAGAGAAAAGTGCACAAAGATGGAGTTACATTACTTACAAATATGTTAAAAACCCAGAAAAAATAAATTCAAAACTAGAAAACTAATAAAATAAGACAACTCTAATATATAGGGCAATAGAATTTATAGATGCTGAAAGCAAATATTATAATAACTATTAATAATAAAACTAAAAAACAATAAAAACAATTATAGTATAGATTTGTTTAATACCACATTAAACCCCATGGATGTTACAAACAAATTTCGTAAGTTATTCGATATTAAAACTAAAATACTAAAAAACAATAAATAAATTCAATAAATATCTATAAAATAAGATACCCAATCGAGTAATTATTTTTTAGTAAGATATTAAGCACCATATCATATCCAATAACCACTTGAATATTTTAATAGTTTTTTTTTTCTTAACAAGCCAACACTTATGAATGCGTGGTATAAGAGCGATTATTAAGATAATCTAAAAAACAAGTTTGATTGCTTGTCAGCTCTAAACTTTGCAAGTGTAAATTAGATTGAATGGCTGATAATAATTTTTTCCTAGCACCATAGGAAATATTTTTTGTTTGTTTTGTCAACGTGTAGAAAAGTGCCCATGATTTGCTCATTGTTGTCATTGTCCGCAGACTCACACGCAAAAAAAAAGAGGAAAAAGTACAAGTCTTGCCTGCACATGCAGATTGGCCAAGAGCGATAGCGATAGCCTTTTTGTTTGCCTTTCGTCTGTTTTTGGCTTTTAGAGCTGCGAGTTTTCCGACTCGGCGGAATGGAGTTGTAGCTGTTCGTTGGCCAGATGAACAATTTCCTTTCCGACGCGAGAAACCAAACCACCTGACCAGGATCGAATCGCGAGGTCTGGCTTGGTCGCAAGATTTTTCCCTGGCCCACGCTCGATGGTCCACCAGGTCCACCATTTTCGGTTCGTTTGGCAGGGGCCTCGATGAAAAATTTGCAAATTGGAATTATTTATTTATTGATGCATGTTTGATGTGACGCTTTTGTGGAGGCTCCCAAGCCCCAAGGCCCCCCTTTTTTCCTGCACATTCACTCTCATGTAACGAATCGCTTTTTTAGCTGCGGGCCACAAATGCAATCGGCAAACACAGAAAATACGAAAAGTAATGGAAGTGGACGAGGGAAGGCCGCGCAGCACATGTGTGAGAAATTGCTGTTTGTTTTATGCAAATGATCATCGCATCGCATTGCAGCTGGATTCGCTCTGCCGGTCGCCGTTCCAAATTTTCGGCTAGCGCAATTAAAAACCGAAAGTGTGAAGGAAGCGAAGCTTTTTGCAGACCAGCATGGTAAACCGATTGTGGAAAAGTACGGGCAAAGGGCGAGGAAATGGGTAAAAGTCCCGAATCGGTCTCACTTTCTCACTTCATTATGTTTGCAAGGGAAAGGTTTTTCACTTTTGATGAGTCTCTTTATTGGAGATCACCTTGATCATAAGGAAATCGCTTGCGATTTGAAATCTCTTATAATAGGGTCTTAAATAATATAACCATTTGTTTGGGGAACACCCTGTTCTTTTGGTTTGTGAATAGACTAAGGTTGAAATCTGAAGTTAACGTCATTTTAAGTAAAAATGTTAGTATTTAATATGAACGCCGCGGTCCAGAGAAAGCTTACTAAGCGATCTCTTTTTTTGTAATAACGATATCTGGCCACTCTACTCGTGGAAATAAATTGGAAACAACGTGAATTATTGAAAACGCAACGAAAACGAGTTCTATATTGGAAACCTAACTCATCCTTTGGCTACATTGCTGTTAGCAATTCCCTCCAGAGCAAGGTCTGGAAACATTTTGGCGACCGTGACAGGACAGCTCTAAAGGATAAGTCACACGCGCAAGTACGATTGCGGATCTCTCATCGGGTCAATATAGAACTGCAATTCAAGCACACATCGGCCAGGGCTTCGCTGACCAATTCAACGAACGCAAATTGGTCAGAGCCTCACTGGACATCTCGGAAAGTCAACCAGGGCTTCGTTGGAGCAACTCATCAGTAGCAGTTGGCCAAAGCCTCGCTGGTGGATTCCACGTCGGTCAACCACAACCTCACTTCTGCGGATCACATTTCGGCAAACATAACCACACTTCGAGACACGCAGCTTTCACACACTTACACATCGCAAGTACACACACATATCTAAGTAACCTGTACCCATATACATGTAAAACATATACAAAATTATAAAGATTGTTGCGCCAAGTAGCTATTTCTATGAAAGGCTGAGATTCTTGCTGTTGCCCATTTTATCTTCAGTTCAGTTGCAGGTGCCTCCGCTAGGGGTCGAACATACGTTTCAATTAAACTAGTCAGTTCTCGATCTTGAGTGTACGCATTGAACAATGGATAAGGCTGAGGCAAGCATTCCCAACGAAGCAGGTCCATCCCAAGTAGAAGTCAATGACGCAAAACTTGTTAAATTACGAGTTCAGCGGACAACGATAGAGCGCAATATCAAGAATCTTAAAGGTCGTGTTCTCACTCTTGGGGCATCCGTTGAACCCACAGTGCTGGAGTGCAATTTGCAAATAGTTGAAAATTACTTTCGTACATTATGTCAGATTCAGTCAAACATCGAGGAAATTTACTGCATCGACACGGGGAGGGCGCAAGTGGAGGAAATCTTCATTGATGCAAAATCAACAATTACACAGCTCATAAATAAGAAGCGTAAAACCAGCCTCGTTGGAGACGATCCAAGTTTTCTGAACTCCACTGGCAACACAACGCACCACAGCCGATTACCTAACATCAAGTTGCCCAGTTTCGATGGGACTTATTCTCAATACAAACGGTTCATCAGCGCGTTCTCCAACCTTGTTGATCAGGATTCAGGCATCCCCACCATTGATAAATTTAACTATCTCCTCAATTGTCTGGCTGGCCCAGCTTTAGAAGTTGTTCAACCTTTTCAAATCACTGAACAAAACTACCCAAAAGCCCTAACCCAGTTGAAGGCACGATATGATAATGATGTATTAATTTTTTTGGACTACATTTCTAGTTTTTTCGCTTTATCCACATTAAAGAAACCAGATGCATCACAGCTTCAAAGACTTATACATTCAGCCGCAGCTATAAGAGGTTCTCTACTGTCATTAGGGTCAGCAGAAGATGTGATGAACGCAATTTTTATTCACATTCTACTCTCCAAGGTCGATTCTGATACCAAACTGTATTACGATGAAAAACTGACGTTTGAGGCTTTGCCATCATGGGAAACCTGCTGCAAACTCTTAACTCATAGGTGCCAATTCTTGGAGAGCCGTTCCAAAGGGAAGGAACTAGCAGACTCGCACGAGTCAAATCATAAACAAAGGCCTACTCAAACATCGAAGGCTTACATCACAACCAGTGCAAAATGCGAATATTGCAGGGCATCCGATCACTACATATCGAATTGTCAAACGTTTTCCGTTCTTCTTTTGGACCTGCGAAGAGATTGGGTCAGGAAACGGGGACTTTGTTTAAACTGCTTGCGTCCTAATCACAACAAAAAGCAGTGTCAGTCGAAATCGCGCTGTAAAATTTGTCGCTCCGCTCATCATTCACTTCTTCACAACTTTTCGCCTGGAGTTTCAACACAATCCAGCGATCAGGTCCATCGCACGGGAGAATCGCCTCCGTCAACGGTGCAGCCACACCTTTCATTAGTGGTGCGAGCAGCTAAACTCGGTATACTTCCCACAGCAGTGGTCCAAGTCAAGGACAAACTCGGGGAACTTCATTATATTCGCGCTATGCTTGACTCCTGTTCTGAAGTCAATCTGATCACTGAAGAAACAGCCAAGCTTTTGAATTTGGAAAAATTCAAGGTATCTCAAGAAGTTTGCGGAATTTCAGATACGTGTCAACCCATTAAGTATAACGTTATAGCGACACTAAAATCACGCCTTTCTGAATTTGAATGGACTTCCACGTTTGCGGTAATAAATTCAATATGCACGCACCAACCTAGCAGCACCATTGGAATTCAAGATTGGAAGCTACCAACTAATGTCAATCTAGCCGACCCGCACTTTTTCCAGTCGACCAAGGTGCATATGCTTATCAGTACCGAAGGGTTTTTCGAAGCATTAAAAAATGGAAAGCATTCTCTTGGGTTTGGCAAGCCTAGTTTAATCAATACAGAATTCGGTTGGGTAGTAGGAGGGAATATCACATCAGCTCCAACAGTGTTTAAAGCCTTTCATTGCACACTTCACGAAAATCGCGCTGACACCGACACAATTTTAGATCGTTTTTGGAAAATCGAAGAGTATTGTACCTCTCCTCCTACATTTACGGATGAAGAGCAAGCGTGTGAAGATCATTTCATACAAAACGTATCCATTTTAGTCGATGGACGGATTCAAGTGCGCCTTCCATTCAGCAATTCAAGTGCAGGTTTGGGTAATTCATTCAACATGGCTCAGAATCGTTTCTCAATGCTTGAGCGAAGACTTAACCGCTGTCCCGAATTAAAGGAAGGCTACGTAAACTTTATGAAAGAGTACGAGGCTTTGGGGCACATGTCGCCTCTTCAATCATTCGATTCCAACATGCGACACTTTTTTATTCCGCATCATTGCGTACATAGACCCCAAAGCCTATCGACCAAACTTCGCGTTGTCTTCGACGGATCAGCAAAATCAACCTCGGGCAAATCACTAAACGATCTTTTACTCTGCGGACCGACAATTCAGCAGGATCTCATCACCACAGTTTTAGCTTTTAGACTACACCGGTTCGTTCTCACCGGTGATATCACTAAAATGTATCGTCAATTCATGATCGATCCCCGTGACCGATTATTCCAGCTAATCCTGTGGAGGGAAAACCCAACAGATCCAATGAAAGTATACCAATTAAACACCGTGACATACGGCCTATCATCAGCTCCGTTTTTAGCTATCCGAAGTTTACAATATTTAGCAAGCGAATCAAGGTCAGAATTTCCCGCAGGAGCTTCAGTTTTGTGCAACGATCTTTACGTAGACGACCTCCTGACAGGTGCTGATACGGTAGAAGAATTACTGGAAAAGAAAAGACAGGTCGTACAAATATTGAGGAAGGGAAACATGAGCATGTCGAAGTTCAACAGCAACTCGCACATCATCGGAGGCTTATCAGCAACGGAAGTCGCCATCAAGTTTGAAGAAGAAGAAATCACCAAAGCCCTTGGATTGTCGTGGCAGCCTCAAAAGGACTACTTCGTATACAGATACGACTTATCGTCAGACAACACGTTTACTAAGCGAATTGTTTTGTCTACTATCGCAAGTCTCTTTGACGCACTAGGATTACTCAGTCCCGTAACCATACGATGTAAAATCCTGTTGCAAGACCTGCACATTCTCAAACTTGGATGGGACGAGCCACTCCCGGATACACAAAATGAATTGTGGAGTGATTTAAGAAACGATTTGAAAGATACACCCAAACTGAAATTTCCTCGATACATGCACACGTCTCCGTCAGAGCCGTGCGAAGTTCATGGATTCGCGGACGCATCCGAGCGAGCTTATGGCTGCTGTATATACATTCGAGTAAAATTAGGAAATACAGTTCACACAAATTTACTTATCGGAAAATCCAAAGTAGCTCCTATTACCGTTATATCTCTACCAAAGCTAGAATTATGTGCAGCAGTCCTGCTAAATGCAACGTTTCGAAAATTTCAGAATAAGCTCTCTCCATACGTCAACAAGATTTACTTCTGGACGGACTCAAAGATCGTTCTTCAATGGATGACGATGCATGCTTCAAAACTGAACTGTTTTGTAGCAAACAGAGTTTCAGAGCTGCAGCAGCACAGCGCAGATGTCGAATGGAGACATGTACCGTCAGCAAAGAACCCCGCGGACATTGTTTCGAGAGGTTGTCGCACTTCTGACCTGTTAACTAACACTTGGTTAACCGGCCCAGAATTTTTGAAACTGCCATCCGAGGAATGGCCGAGTCTCTGTATTTCCGCACCATCATCTATCGAAGTACGAAAAAGAGCACTAGTCATATGCAACGAACCATCTACCTGCCATGTAGGGACGTCAGTTGGGAGTCAAAAAGTTAACGTTGATGGCTCTAAGGAACAGGTAAATTCAAAATCTGATGTTTTAGATTCGATCATAGACTACGTCATCAACAAGTCCTCATCGTACGTTCGAATACTACGAGTATTGTCATACATTTATAGAACATTTAACAGAGTCGTACCAGATCGTAAACTCAAGGTAAAGGAAATTTTGCATATATCTGCATCTGAGCTAAACGTTACGTTCTGGCGTATTATAGGGCACATACAGCAGTCAGCCTTTCATGAGGAATTGAAGTTACTAGCAAAAAATAAATCTCTAAAGCCACACTTACAGGGTCTCGCTCCATTTATTCAAATGATGGAATTAGATAGTGTCAGTGTCAATGTGGTAAGGGTAGGCGGGCGATTAGCAAGATCAGCGTTGTCATTTGAAGCAAAATTTCCAGCAATCGTTCCACGAAACCATCGTTTCATTCAGCTGTTTATAGAATTCCTTCATAGGAAAAATCTACATGCAAATTCAAAAATACTCATTTCTCTTTCTCGAGAAAAGTTATGGATTGTCAACGCCAGAGTTCTAACTCGTCAGGTCGTCCGGAACTGCACGCATTGTTTTCATTACAAGCCAAGACTTACACAACAAATTATGGGGAATCTGCCTCCTGACCGACTTCACGCGGAACGCCCTTTTTCAATTGCAGGGGTGGATTTCTGTGGCCCATTTCAAACGTGTTATAAAATACGTGGCAAGCGACCATATAAAACATATGCGTCGATATTCATTTGCTTTGCTACGAAAGCTGTACACATTGAGGTGGTGTCTGAGTTATCAACTAATGCATTTTTATTATGTCTTCGAAGATTCATCGGACGTCGGGGCCTGCCTTCGAAACTGTACTGCGATAATGCTACCAATTTCTGTGGTGCAGCAAGGAAAATGGACGAATTCAAGCAACAGTTTTTCAGTACAGAGGTCATCGACGATCTTCACTCCTTCAGTGCGGTTAAAGGATTTGACTTTAACTTCATTCCGCCTCGAGCCCCACATTTCGGGGGGCTCTGGGAAGCCGCTGTGAAGTCAGCCAAAACCCTTTTACTGAAGAACATATCGGAGGCCAATCTCACATACGAAGAGCTTGAGACAACGTTTGCTGAAATAGAGGCAATTCTCAATTCCAGGCCAATTGCCCCTCAATCAGATGATCCTAACGACGGAATCGCTCTAACGCCAGCTCATTTTCTGGTTGGTTCATCACTGTTGGCTGCTCCAGACGAGCGCATCTTCAAACCACAGTCCACCGCCCAGCTAAGTTATCTGGATCGATGGCAAAGGGTAACGTTTCTCAAGCAGCAGTTCTGGAGTATGTGGCAGCGGGATTACATACACACCCTACAGCGTCGAGGAAAATGGAATACTCAACAAGCAAACATCAAACCGGGCCAACTTGTCATCATACATGAGGATAACACACCACCACAACATTGGATTCTCGCTCGCGTCGTTTCCGCAATCCCAGGAAAGGACGGGAAGGTTCGAGTTGTGGATCTACAAACTTCAAAGAACGTGCTGCAACGCCCAATTCATAAAATTGCTCCTCTTCCAATGGAATAGTTGAAAGATCATAGATCCTGCAACGGGGGGAGTATGTTTGGGGAACACCCTGTTCTTTTGGTTTGTGAATAGACTAAGGTTGAAATCTGAAGTTAACGTCATTTTAAGTAAAAATGTTAGTATTTAATATGAACGCCGCGGTCCAGAGAAAGCTTACTAAGCGATCTCTTTTTTTGTAATAACGATATCTGGCCACTCTACTCGTGGAAATAAATTGGAAACAACGTGAATTATTGAAAACGCAACGAAAACGAGTTCTATATTGGAAACCTAACTCATCCTTTGGCTACATTGCTGTTAGCAATTCCCTCCAGAGCAAGGTCTGGAAACACCATTATTATTTTAACATCTTGTTATTGAAATGTTAGTTAACATGTTATACTTTTTCCTTTTAAAGAAACAAAGATTTCTATTCAACACAATAGATAATTTATATTTCATAAAGAAATTCGACGTTGGCCACAAAAATACACATGAAATTTAAGCTCCCGCCAATTAAATTAAGATTTGGGAGATGATTCAAGGTAAAATGGGTTTCCTTTTCGGGAGACACTACATCATTCCACTGTCGATGTCTCGTACTTCAACCTGCTCCATGCCGGGAATAGCCTTGACCATCTCGTTCATCTCCTCGGCAGAGGGTCCATCGCTACTGGAGGCGCTCATTCCTCCTCCTCCGCCTCCCATTCCACCAAAGCCGCCTCCCATTCCTCCGAAGCCACCCATGCCACCCATTCCACCCATTCCTCCCATGCCACCCATTCCACTCAGGGCTGCCAGCTCCTCCAGTCCGCCCATGTTCATGTCCAGCCCGTCATCCATTCCGCCGCCAGCTCCGGCCAACTTGGCCAGGAGATCATCGTTCCGGGAGTCTGTGATCACCACCTCGGTGGTGCTGAGCAGGGAGGCCACTCCAGCCGCATCCGTAATGGCGGTTCGCACCACCTTGGTGGGATCGATGATGCCCTTCTCCACCAGTCGGCAGTACTCATCGCCCATGGCATCGTAGCCGTAGTCCCCGGATCCCTGGAGCACCTTGGCCACCACCATGGCGCCTTCGACTCCCGCATTCTGGGCAATCGTGTGGCAGGGCATCCTCAACGCACTACAGATGATATCCACGCCCTTCTGCAGATCCGCAGTCTCCATCTTGAGTTCCTGGAGGTGGGGGATGCAACGCAGGAAGGCCGTGCCGCCACCTGGCACGATTCCCTCCTCAATGGCCGCCCTTGTGGCATTCAGGGCATCCACCACCCTGTCCTTTTTCTCACCCACCTCCACTTCGCTGCCACCGCCAATGTGGAGAACAGCCACGCCTTTTGTGAGGGCGGAGAGGCGCTGCCTCAAGCGATCCCTTTGCTCTGGCTTAGTTTGCTTATCCCCCAGTTCATCCTTGATCTGCTGGATGCGCATCTCGAGCAGGCCCGGCTTGGGTTTACCCTGTAGCAGCATGGTGCTGTCCTTGCTGATCACCGCCTCGCCCACCTGGCCCAGATCCTCGGGCTTGGCCTCCTCCAGCTTGCAGTAGTTGACGTCATCGCCGAAGATGGTGGCTCCCGTGGCGGCGGCTATGTCGCCAATCAGCTCCTTGCGATGGTGTCCATAGCTGGGCGATTTGACGGCACACACTTGGAGGCCCAACCTCAGCTTATTCAAGACCAAACCATTCAGAGCCTCGCCACTGATGTCCTCGGCTATGATGATCAGGGGGCGTCGCTGCCGCAGCGATTGCTCCAGACCCTTGACAATCTCCTGCAGACCGGTGATCTTCTTCAGGGAGATCATCACTAGGGCATTGGCAAACTCCACCTTGGAGCCTTTAGAGGTGTTTACAAAGAAAGGGGAGACATAGCCATTGTCGAAGCGAAGTCCTTGAATAATACTCAGCTCATCCTTGAGCCGCTTGCCATCCTTCACGGTAATAGTTCCCTTGGGTCCCACAATATCCGTGGCCTCTGCGATGAGGCGACCTATCTCCGTATCACCATTTGCCGAAAGGGTGGCCACCTGCTGGATCTCCTCGCGCGTTTCCACCGATTTGGACATCTCCTTCAGCTTCTCCTTCACCAGATCCACAGCTATCATGACACCGCGGCGAATCTCCAGGGGATTAGCACCCATGGTGATCTGATTGAAGCCCTCTTTCGCAATTGCCCTGGCCAAAACAGTGGCTGTGGTGGTGCCATCACCTGCCGACTCATTCGTTTTATCGGCCACATCCTGGACCAACTTGGCCCCGAGGTTCATGTGCTGATCCTTCAGGGCAATCGAACGGGCCACCGTAAACCCATCCTTGGTGATCTTCGGCGAGGTCCAGGGTCGCTCCACGATCACACTGCGTCCCTTGGGACCCATCGTGACGGCCACCGCATCCGCCAGAACATCCACGCCCCGGATCATCAGGGCACGAACTCCCGGTCCAAAACGCACATCCTTCGAGTACATTCGCGTGAAACAGCGACTCGCGGAAATCGCCTCGGAAACACAAGAACGGAACATTTTATAGAAATCAATGTGGAATACTAGAAACTTTAATACTATAATATTCAATGGTTTAAATATTTTTTGGTTCGATTTCAGCCACGAAGTGAGTACAAATGATAATCAAGGGGACTGTTAAGGGCAGCAGTGAGGCACTGAAAGACAATTGATCTAAAGCCTACTCAGAGCTTCAGTTAACGGCACTTTTAGGGATCATAACTTGGAAAATCTTAAACTAATTTTAAGTGGCATACCTTTTCACCAAATGTTTTTATGCCGCCTCTCTGCTAGCACACACAGCATACATCTAAAAGTTAGGTTAGATTATCTTACTTCAAAGTAATTTTGTAAAACTTTCTGCAAAGTTGTACATTTTCTTTTGTGAGTGGTGCTTTATATTTAAGTTAACAATTTAACTTAAGCTCTAAGAAGATAAATAAATAATAATAATACTTTTTTCTTAAAATTTTAGATAGATTTGAAGGTAGATTGAAGTTTATTTTAATCTAAAGCTAACTGCCCTTCTCTTCTTAGTAGATATTTCTAAATAAATAGGAACCATTCCCTCTCTATTTATATTGATTTTCCTCGAGCACTTATCGTTCTGTTCATTTGTCCAGATGTGGAAGTATAAGTTTTCAGGCAATCGCCAGTTTTCACAACTTGCATTTGTCTGGCGCCTGGCCGTCTGCGATCTGCGGCTCTTCGATCCTCGGTTTTCGATCTTCGACAACAGAAGCCGGGCCTTCTGTTTGCCGGAATAAATTAGCGTGCAGCTAATAAGCCCCGACATTCTGGGTGGAGTCTGCCCATTTGCAGTTCTATTAGGTTTGCAGTTCCACGGACGCCGCTCTGACCCACAAACAAGACCAGCCCGTCGTCTGCAGATTTCCCAGAACTTGGGTACTGCATTCTGTACTGCAGGAGGAGGATGGATGCATTTTCCTTGGACTGGGACTGCCCCGTTCCCATTTCGAAGGCAGCTGTCAAAAATTGTTTGCTGCCTACTGAAAACCAAAGAAATTCACACATTTTGCTGCAAGCCAAATGGCAAATGGAAATGGGGAGTTTGAGACGGAGATGGAAATGGAAATGGAGATGGGATGGAAATGGTCAGTGCACAGTGAACACAAAGACATAAGAATCTTCTTTTGAATACAAGTATAAAATATTTTGCAATAGTAATCAGTAATAAATAGATTTGTATTAATTTTTTCAAGAATGGTATGTTTTTTGTAATTTAATGAAATCTTAAAAAAAATAATAAATAAATAATAGGAAAAGTAAAAAAGGCAATTTGGTTGTGGTTAAAAATATCTATCAAAATGTAGAAATCATTTTTTAAATCGGACCATTCATTAAAAAATTATAATCAAAAATTAAAACAGCCACTAGATGGAGCCATAATTTCAACAGCCGCTAGATGGCTCCCAAGCACTCCCTTCAACTGAGTAATGGGTATCTGATAGTTGAAGTACTCGATTATATCTTCTTTTTGTATTGTTTTATCTGTGTAAATATGAATCGATTAAGGCTAGAAATTTTCTCTCTGTGCTGGAGGCAGGGATCTCTATTGGAGCTGGGGTCGTCATTGGCATTGGAATCGGGGTCCGTTTCCTGGCTGGTTGACGCGTTGATTGCCATGTGCAAGCGGTAGCACAGTAGCCGGGTTTTGTGTCAAAAGCCCGTCACCGATTTTCAGGGGGAAAGGGGAAGGGCGGCGGAGCTGATTGATGAGGCATTTGCATGTTCGAAACTCACGGGGAAGTCGAACTTCTTCCGCAACCCGCAACCTTTCTCTCTCTTCTTATGCGACATGTGAAAGTGTCCATGGTGGGAAGACCACCTGGTGGGCCTTGCGATAATCCAAAGTACAGCCCATCTGCAGGGTCTTCTTGCTTCGGACGACTACAAATTACTTTCGCTGGCAAGCAAGCCTCGATCTACGATTAATTGCAGGCCCTCTTCGGGGGATTCTCCAATTGATTTCTGTCTGGTTGTTGGTCTTCTTTTTTTGTGGCCTGAAATTAACCCACTGACCGCTGGCCAATGATTTCCTATTTGATTTTGCCAGAGTTTTGCGCGGGTCTGTCATTAGCCGCGGATCTCCACGCGGATCGATGAGCAGATGAAGTTGTTCGGGTAATTGTGGAGCAGGCGGGCAAAGAAAGTTTTAATGAGAATCGGGCAGACGGCTGACTTTCAGACTTTCCGACTTGCAGTTCAATCTGGCCATTTGCGTAAGTGCCAGGGCAGACAAAATTCCAGGATCTGGAATCTGGGATCTGGGGCAGCCAAGTGCAGATTGAGCTCATGGGATCGATCTATCGATGAGATGCACTTTAAAAAAATATAATGGGTAATTCAAAAAGTCTTAACTAAATTATTAAAATATAAAGTTTAATTGAATCATTTAATATACTTGAATCAATAATATTATATTAAAAATGTATTATATAACCTTTTCATGTTCCGCTATTGTACAAAACTTTTAAAAAGCTCACTGATAAACAAATGAAATTAAAGCGTAGGTACAGATACAAATTTTTATAAATTCAGTATGGACATTTTAGAAATGAGAATATTCAGAGTAGTATGCTCAAAAAAGGCAGTTCTTATTCAGTAATTTTAGTCGATATTTAGATTTTAACGTTCTTTTTCGATTAAAAAATTAAAATTAAGTACAATTTTCAATAAGCAGTTTACATTTATTAAACCCGTGAATATAAAATAAATAAATGGTATTTCTCAGCACCAGAACACAACTATAAAATGTCAAATCAAGCTATTTCCTTATGTCTACACTATCTTTAAGTACATATTTCTGAGTGCACTTGGGCAGCTCCAACCTCGTCTCAATTTAGCCTTTGCTCCCAGCTTTTTTGACTCAACCGAGGCGAACTCAGCGCCTCTGAAAGACAGCCGCTCATATTGTCACGTACCGGGCGGTGTCAAGAGTGCATGAAAATCGTTTGCCGCATTGACTGTAATTAACTTTTTGACTCGATTTGACTGAAGCCGGGAGCTGGCTGCCCGCCAGTCCACCAGCCCACCGGTCGTATGAGCAACTAGCACACCACCGATTCCAGCTACGCGAATTGAGGAAAATAACGTGGAGCAGGTGCTCCGTGGCTCGATTTCGGTGGCGTTGCAATTAAAATTCCTATACGGTCCAATCGAATGGCCAAGGAATGCGCGCAGCGTCCAATTCGATTGCGGTTTGAATTTGTGTTTGCTTATCTGCCCCGCGAAAACAAAAACATTCGCTGGCTAATAATTAAAATTATTTAACACGCCGCCGCTTAAATGGCATCGCTCATACGCCGCGTTAGCCGCGCTGTCCCCCGCGGTCGACTTGCCAAATTGGCTGTCAGTGGGCTGGAAACAACTAAAACCACACAACGACTTAAACTTAAACTTAGACAACTGCAGAAAAAAGAACTGCAAAAAAACCAAAGCCAAACGGCAGCCTTTGTGGCAGCAACGGTGGCAAAATAATTTGCATAACCCGCAATCTGTGTAATCTCCCAAGTTGGTGGCATAAATTAAAAGGAAAATGTCAGACTGAGCCGAGAGAAAAATGTTCAGAGGAAGGGTGGGCGGATTTGACCCAACTCTCACGGCAAAGGTTGATCTAATTAAACATACCCGAATGACTAGTGATTAATTTTAAATTAAGCGTTTCAGGTGTCTTGCTTTGGGTTTTTTAATGCATTTAATTTGGTTTGATTTAACTTAACCTGATTTATGGTCATATGACGCAGACTGGATTTATTTTTAAAATTTATGATCGGATTTTAAGTGAAATCGTTTTTTAAAAATACAATGCAATTATAAATGTGATTGGGTAAATAATGTCTTTATAAAATCCCAGTTAGCGTTACTTAATTTCGGTTTTTTAAAAAAGAATTTGTAAAATGGGGCTTTTAATAAGTCGAGGTCTTATGATAACACAGAGAATATCTGCCTAACTATCAATAAAATGTGGTTGAGTTGTAGACCATTTTTTTCTAGGTTGTCATGACTTTAAAAAAAAATAAAAATAAAATAATTATTAAATACAAATAAATTAATTGATCTTACTTTTGCATGGTCTTAAAAAAACTATCTATTTTCGAACATAGATTAAAATGTAAAAGAAAGGAAGTGAAAGGTTTGAAAGTACCTAAACCACCCTAAACCTCATCCTAAAACCCCTCCTGCCACATCCATGGCCTCAAATATCTAGCCACCCACTCGACCAGCGATTTGTATTGTCACATCGCTACGAGTGTCGTACGAGTGTGGACAAAACAGTTGACCCGGAGAGTCAGAGTCGTCGGAATGAAGAGACGGCACTTCACACGCCGCCGTGGCAAAGACAACTTAATGCTTAATACTTATTGTCGCGCCTTAATCTAGATACACTCGGCACTAACAACCAGCGACTTGGTGGCCAGGGGGTCCATTCCCATTCCCAATCCCAGCCAATCTGCAGCTCGTGCTCGTCCGGCAAACACAGGCAAAATTGAGTGGCAAAATGTTTCTCCTCAGTAGTTTTTTCTTTTTGTTTTTGAACATTTTGTTGTCACGGCTGTCGCCCCTGCTCCACCATAACCACCAGTCCCACCACACATGCCAAAAGCCGCTGGCCGGTGCTGTCAGTCTTCCTATGACTTCCACTCCCGCTTCCAAAAACTTAAAGCCAGCGAAAAAAAATAGAGAAAAAATCCCAATCCCAGTTGGACTGTAAATCTGCATGCGCGTCGCGGTGTCAAAACTTTTTTAAACAAAATAATTAAATGTAGAGAAGAGAGGGAAGCCACGGCAACAGCGCATAAATAGTTGCATGGTTTGCTGCCCCCTCGAAAAAAAGTAGAAAAAACTCTGAAAACCCGTCTCTTGCAAACCCCCTTCGATTCACCACAAAAGCTCATGCAAAGAAATCCGCTAGAAAGTCATGTTCGTGTGCTGCAACTTCGAATTGAAGCTGCAGAATCAGCCGAAAAATGTGCCTGCTCCTCATCCCCATATTTATTCCCCTCTCTGGAGTTGAATGCGTGATCGGTTTACTCACGATAGATTTTTAAGGATTTTATAAGGTTTAATAAAAAGTTTAAAAAAACACAAATAGTATTACTTTACATTTTTA